CAACACATCACGGGGAAGGGTAGACGGTAGTGGTGGGATTCGAGCACACGTCCTCCAAGGTGGTAGTTGGTGACATTATCACCGGGCCACCACCACCGAGAATGCTCCCTCACTCACTCTCTCTTTAACAGTATGTTATTTGTCTACGAGGGATCTCTCCCGTGTTACTGTAATTCAAATTTGTAATAAAGTTCATACACCGTTCAAGATTTATAATCTTAGTAGTGGATCAAAATTGACACACAGTCAGAGTATGTAAACATTTACTGACTCGGTTTCACACAATGAAATTACTCGGAAATAAAATAACAATAGAGATGATAATAATAATAGCAAACATATTTTCATGATGACCATTCAAAAAGAATAGTATAGTATTGTTGAATCTGTTTGCCACCCTCCACACGTTCCACCCCAACAGTCTGTCCAGTCACCTCTCCCTCAAGCGTCATTGTTTTGACCCGTACGTATTATCGATCATCAGACATGCACTTTTCATCCGTCTCATTTCTTCATTCGTCCACCACACTCGGTTACTACCCCCCCCTCCCTGCCCTTCCTCTTTCTTGTGACCGTTGATATGGTCTGACTCATCCTGTCCTATTACTATCATATGGAGTTGTCTAACCTGATTCGGATTGATCCTCAGTGTCACCCATGTGCGCTTTGACGTTATTTCACCAATCACCTGTTCGTTTTACGGAGTGATGAACTCCCTCGTTTGCATATTGGTTCTCGATTGGCATTGTTTATTTCGCCGGTTTAGGCATACTCCTTGGGAACGATTTGAGGTGTGTTGCTTATGTAATTGTAACGCTTAATATTCACAGTGCCGCATACTTATTCGCCGTTGTTGGAGTCAAATAAACCTCTAGAACACTTGGACTTGGCTTCTGAGGTTGTGCGTCACTCAACGTTGGCCTGGACTTGGACTGAACAAGTATATAGTCTCATTCGACCCATGATTTTTCACTTCTGACCGCAATTGGTCTCAAGGTATCTTTCACCTAAATGTGATACACTGTAGGTCATCTGAGAATTTTCTCCAGTCACTTTTACCTCATAAACTACCGTCAAACAAACTGGTGAATGGGTCCAGCTTTTTTTTCAAATGTAACATTCATGGGATGTGTGGTGCTTTTCAGGGTGAGGGTGGTGGTAGGGAATTTCAGGAACTTTAGAGCATATCGCGGGCTAGGCTAGACTAGTCCATCACCATCACACTAGTGCGTTCTCTGCAAGCAGCACTCGAACAGGATTGCCTTGAGGTTGTTTATCGGATTCATTCATAGAGCTTACTTATCTTTAACACGAAAACAAGTAGAGGATTAAGACTCCATCTTCACACACCATCGTCAATCCAACGCGTCCACTACACCATCCGGAAGGGGTTACTAGAGTGGAACTTCGTTTTTGATGGAGTTTAACAATACATAAGATAAGAAGTATAATTCTCAGAATAGCGGCATCTCATTTTGTTCCAGATGAACGAATCGAGTTTCGCGTGGTCCGTAACTTTTTCGAGCAAAACGCAATGTGATAAATAGTAAAGAGAGAACAGTCTACAAGTAGCAAGAACTCTTTTAATCCAGGTATCGAACCCGATTGTCAAAGTTCTCGGATCTCAGTTTGATAAATAATAGGCGGAAGAATCGGATGAGTGGCGCACTGTGAATGTGGGACTTTAAGGATATGCATAGATTAGATATGGCGACTAGAACTGCTTGACTGGCTCTGCCCCCAAAACACCACTAAGGATGGTTTATTTGAGGTTATAACAAACTTGGACAATCGAATCCGGCAAACTTCGTAATATTGACCGCTCATACAGTTAAGTGAGAGAGGAAAAACGAACCATAGCAGCACAGCTTCGAACGGTGCTCAGATGCTAAAATTTGGAACATACCCACGAAAGCGTCCATGCGAATTGATGTTCATGACAACACGAGAGGCGGTGGGAAATTCTTCCTCCAATCGTTGTTGTGTTATACTGAATGGGAGATTGCTCACGTGTAATACGGTTGCGTTCTCCACATCGGGACTGGTGGCTGGACGAGGTTGTTTTGAGAGTGAATGCGAAGCGAACGCTACGCCTATCTATGAGGGGAAAAATGGACAGACAATGGGCAAATCAATACAGACGATCCAAAATGAAGGACGACCTTTAGGCCGAATAGAATACACACACATGCGTGCAAATAAGTGTGTTGGAAAACAAGCCGGTGGTGTAAGTTGTACAGAGACCACGAAACAAGGTTGACAGTGTACTTTGAGTCGCGTAATGTTGGCTGGTTAGTAACATACCCTCGGGTTAGGCAGGGCTGAATGCTACCAGGAGCGTCCCAAGGTTGTGGAAAGGGGGTTACTCTCATAGAAGAATGTTAGTTGTGAATAAGTTGTGGCATACCGCAACGAATAAGCCGTCGCGAACAAACAGCGGCGGCACTACCGGGGTGTAGTGGTGGGTTTCAGACTGGTCACCTGGCTCCTGTTCAAAAGCCGCATAAGCCCAATGACGGTGTCGCGACAAAGGTCGATATAACTGGCCTTTTAAAACTGAAGTCATTGATCCCCTCACCTTCGAGGCGAGGGATTACTTCCTGTTGCCTTGCAATTCGCAATTGGTTGTGTCAAGGCTAGAGGTGAGCCGAGTGACGCTGGGGATGTCTCTCCGACCAAACTCCCCAGGAAATTCATGATCNGATCATGTCTAGAGCCGGCTTATCCTTTCTAAGGAGCCAGTCGCAGTAAAGTAAGTTAGTAACTTTCGGTAACAGTATTTTTCAAACCATTTAGAGTGCTCCTGATGTTGTGTTGAAGAAAAGGAACGGAAGAATGAGACATTCCTGATTTTGAATGACATGCTTAGCCCGCTGTTGACCCTTGCTGTACCGCAAATGAGTATATTCAATGAACATCACAGGTTGAGGTACTTCCACATGCTCTTACGAAAACGGAGCACAGAAACGAAGAGTATCAAGATCAATCCCGGACGGGAGGGTGGATATGCACTACTAATGAGCTCTAGTGCTTCCGAGTGTATGGTTCAATCGATGAACTGAGGATTGTGTGTAAAGGTGAATCCCGAATAGTCATTTTAAATCAATTAGTTCATTTTCAGTTATTCGGAATCATGCTAATACATTGAATGATGACAAATCACAGTCCTAATGTTTTCGACTGAACTCAGAACGTGTGCCCGTGTGTATTTGACATCGACCATAGAGCCAAAACTCCAAGTGATTGCACACGCGTTGGAGAAAATGATTGGGGCCAAGGAAGTGTTTGCACACGAGATGGGACATTGTGAACCCGAATACTGACAGTCTTGCGGTGGTTAGAATGTGATGCTTCACTGCTCTCGAGCGCGTAGGTCGAAAAGCGCTCTGCACATGTCCACATTGCAGCGAGGAGTGACCATACCGTACTACAGATTGTCTAAATGGTATCCAACAAATGAGCTTCTACGGCAAGGCTAATTGTTCAAATTATTGTTTGACAGATTTGAAG